CTCATGCATACGTTGCCTTCTACTGTTGCAAAATTGCCGGCCACCTGCACATAATACGTTTGTCCGGGAATTAGGGCTTTGGTGCGCAGTATTTGCCCGGATTCTTGCACATCCACCTCTTGTAGGTTGCTGCAAGAGCCACTATACAAGGCTATCACGTCAGAAAAATCAGAAGCTGTGGTTAGCTCTACCAAATCGCCCGGCGTAGTAAGCACCGGTGCAGTAAAGCGGTACCAGATATCTGCACGAGCCAGCAGATTCTCCGAAGGTAGGGTAGTGCCCGATGCAGCATGGAGGTTGGAGCCTGTGGTGCATGGCGCATTTTCATTCAGCACTATGGCATTGGCGCAGTCGTCATTGACGGGCGGAGTTGGCAGCGCAGCGGCTTGTGCGATCGCAGCGCACACACTCCCGCGCGCCTTCCCAAAGCTTCCCGATTGACCACTCACTCTGATGAGGTAATCAGTGCCATTCGTTGCATTGAAATAGGAGGTCTCGCCTTCAAAACCATGCTCATCCTTATTGTTGCAATACACCGCACTATTAGCCGCGCAAGTCCCCGTAAATACTGTGACAATATCGTTAAAATTAGCTTCTGTTGTGAATTTTGCTAAACCGGTAAAGTTAGCTTTCCACTTGTACCAAAGGCTTCCTGCATTGTTATGTGGGTTGCAGGCGGGCACTGCGCCATCAAAAATGGCATATTCCGAAGATTTAGGGGTGGAGCAAACTGTACCGGTCGTCAAGGTGATGGCGCTACCACAAAGATCGTTGATGGTGCCATTTCCTATGATTTTGTAATTGTCCATGCCGAGCCACCAGCCCCATTCATCGTGGTCGTCATATTCTACGATTATGCGCATCTGAGGTGCGCGGAAGGAAGATACATCGAGCAAAAGATTCTTATATTTTTCAAAAGCAGTGCCACCCAAATCATCGTTGAGCGAATGAATAAGCGTTTCCTGTCCATTTCCCTGCTCCACATATATATTGACTGTTTCAGCCTTATGCCTGAAAATCATCTCACAAGAGAATTTGTAATTTTCATAGACCGTGCCATCAAACCAAGGCGATACCAGACGAATTTTGGTAGCCGGAGTATCAGATTCCAGCACTTCATCGTCAAAATAAACAAAACAACTGCCATTCATGGTCGAAATATGCCCATTGCTCTTAGTGTGCACACCATATTTCCAATCCTCGTCGCCCGAAAGCAGTTGGCTTGTCCATTCAGCGGGCTGTGTACAAGTATTGAAAGTTTCTTTCGCCACGATAGTACCTTGCCCTTCGCCGGTTATGAGCACATTGTCCACGCCTGCCCACCACGACCAATCGCCGCCACCATCGTCGTAGCGAAAAATTACGCGCATGTTAGGAGCTGTGAAATACATCGACAAATCGAGCCGCAGATGCACAAAATCACTGAATTGATTGCCCGTATCGGTAATATCATCAAAAGTATAGACTACTTTTTCCGTGGTACCATCGGTCACCAATATTTTAAAAGTTTCATCATTGCTGCTATTGTCACGATAGTGTATATCGGCATCGAGATAGACAAATGAGAAAGGAGAGGCATTGAATGCTGGAGTCTTTACACTAAGCGCAAAACCCGGCGTGTTGATACCGGTATCCTCATCGTCGATAATGAGCATTTTGCTGCCATCTATAGTGGAGCCGTCCGACTTGCTATTGGTGGGAGTGCCCACATACCACAAAGCCTGCTGGTTGCCGGTTATTTCCACATTCCAGCCTACCGGCAAAAAGCCCACATTAAAGTTTTCAGAGAGCAATACAGTTTGGGAGAAAGCTTTATCACAAAAAATAATAAAGATTAAAAGAAAGTAAATCCGCATAATTGTAGAAGATTTTTGAAAAAAATAGCATCTTTGCGCAAGTTATCAAAATGAAAGATCAATTTTTAATTAATTATAGTAATGGATACAATTCTCTATGGTCGTTTTGGAGTCGTTTTTTGGCTGCATTTAGCAGGCGTAATGATTACGTGGGTTGCGCCTTTTTGGTTCAATTGGAAACTCACACTTACCATTTATGCGAGTATTATGATACAATACAAAGTATTTGGCAAGTGCGTAGCCAATGAACGTCATGGACTTTCAGAAGAAGGGGACAACACTTTTTACGCACATATTTTGGAGCTGCTTGGATTCAATTTCAACAGATCCACCGTCAAATTTCTTGTTCGAAGAGTTTTATACTTTGTGCTTTCTGCCATCACTATATATTGGCAAATTTATTTAGGTAACGCTCCGATGCTGTTTTAATTTTATGAAATTCGAAATAATATACGAAGATAATGACTTTGTGGTTGTCAACAAGCCATCAGGCATGCTCACTATCCCCGATAGATTCGGTAAAGACAGGGCGTTTACCTTGCAGTATCAGCTCCAACAAAAGTTTGGAAATATATTGACCGTTCACCGGCTCGATAGAGAAACGAGCGGTATTTTGGTCTTTGCACGCAATGCTGAAGCGCATCGCAACCTGTCCATGCAGTTTGAGCACCACAGTACCGACAAGTACTACCTTGCCCTCGTGGAAGGCAATCTTCACCTCGACGAAGGCGAAATTGACAAGCCGATAGGTGAGCATCCATCCATCCCGGGCAAAATGGCTATTGTACACACCGGCAAGCCATCGCTTACTTTTTATCGTGCTATTGAGCGATTCGACCACTTCACCCTCGCCGAAGTACTCATCAAAACCGGTCGTACCCACCAGATAAGGGTGCATTTTCAGTGTATTGGTTATCCGTTGGCGGTCGATGCGCTTTATGGTCGCCGCACCGGATTCTTACTCTCCGAAGTGAAAGGCAAGAAATACCGCATGGGCAAGTTTACGGAAGCCGAAAAACCCATGATGTCGCGCACCTCCTTGCACGCTTATCGCCTACGCCTCGACCACCCTATAAATGGCGAGCGCATGGAATTCATTGCCGGAATACCCAACGATTTTGATGCAGTATTGAAACAACTGCGAAAATGGGGCAAGAAAACTTAGTTGTTAATGATCAATAACCCGTTAACTATTATGGCAGCCGCCTCCCCAAAAACTGCCTCTTGGCTGTCAAGTGGCTACGCTTAGTGCTATTAGCAAGGCAGTTTTGGAGGAGTCGCCGCGCTATCCGCTGCAATACCTTGTTTTTCGCCTCTTGGGCGAGGAGAGTAGTTTGGTGGGTAGTGGTTAGGCGAAAAACAAGGTATTTCCGCTACTATCGCTGCTGCGGGGAGTAGTACTTCGCTCCAACTGTATGCGCGGTGCAATAAGTTTTCTCAAAATTTTTCCGTATTTTTTTCGCCTAGGATTACTTAGTCATCACCTCCTCGCGCAACTTGCGCACAAAAGCCTCCTCCAACTTCGTTAACTCAGCCAATTCCGCATCAGACATATTCGGGAATTTTTGCATCAACGAAATTGCAAATTCCTTTTTTGTTTGAGCTACTTCGGCTTTTCCTTCGGCTTTGCCTTTAGCTTCGCTTTCAGCTACTTTTTCCAAAAGCACATGAATAAAGGAGCCTTTAACTATTTTAGCCTTCTTTTTAGGCAATTTTTCGATAAGTACATTCATATCTTCGTATTTTAATTTAGAAACGACGGAAAGATAAAAAAGTGTGATTTCGGTAAGCATTTTTACTACATCTTCGTTTCCTTCTGCAAATATAAGCATTTTTGGGAAATATTCAGCAACTTTTATAGGATTGCGGCCATGTTTTAAAACCAACAAAATATTTGTCAGAAATGTGAAGTTTAGATTCATGATTTGTTCATCGCTCATTTCGTTGATATTGAGCATGAAATAGTTGAAATTAGGAATATACTCCATAAACTCCTGCGGAGTCTGCTGGAATAAATCATGAAGCCTTTCTTTTTTCATTTTCCTAGTTCCATGATAGATTACAATACATATTGGCGGTCGAAGTTGTTGCTTTAGTTTAATATCAGCTTCTACCGCACCATATGAATAACCCCAAAGCTGAATCGGCAAAGGTTTTGTATCTTTTTCGCTTTTAAACTCCCACAAAAGACTAATACGATTTTCCTTACCGCCATTATTGGGCATGATACTAAAGACCGCATCAGCATACTGTGCCTCCATCTTTTCATCGATAAAGCTATTGTTTTCCATTTTGAAAGTGTCTAAGTTTAGCTTACTGAGCAAGTTTTCGGGTATGCAAAACTGCAAAAACTCCATAGCGACCTCTTTTATGCCAAAGGCATACTTCATCAACTTATCATGTGGTTGATGTATAAATGCAATTGGGTCAATAACAACCTTTTCCGGCAATGTTGACTCTGTGATTTCAGTTTTCTCCGTCTGTTTTTTCATAGTGTGTAACTGTTTTCTGCTGTGAAGATAGTCACAAAATCGAAAAAATCTGTTTTATTTGGAAATTTTTGTATACATGTGGGCTAATTTTCTCTGCGACTAATGGTAGATTGCTTGGTGCAAAGGCAGCCGCTTTCTTTGGGTTGGTCGGAAAAACTTGGGTTTTGTGCGATAGGGATAGAAGCGGATGCCGATAAAAAAACGCCTTGTACGAAGGTAAAAGTCGCGCCCAAAACCCAAGAGGCGTTTTTTTATCGGCAGCAGCGGATAGCCCGACCGCCAAGACCAACTGCCTTGCTAGTAAACCTGTGCGTGGCAATAGCGCTAAGTTACCTACTACATATTTGCGGTGTACGAAGGTAAAAAGGCAGTTGGGCTTGGGGGAATCGCCCTAGTTTTGATGGTTAGGGATGAATTGTTAATGGTTATTTACACTCGCGAATGGATAATTCGTTCATTTTCATAATAAAACTAGGAAATTAGCTACATTTGCGCCTGAATGGAGAATTCTTCAAACATTCAGGAATGACCTTCGTTACAAGAGGAGGACGAATCGAAAAAATCGTAAATCGAAAAAATGAATTATAAAAAGAATATTTTAGAGACAATTGGTGATACGCCTTTAGTAAAACTAAATAAAACCATCGAGGGTATGCCTTGCCTTGTTTTGGCAAAAGTAGAAACCTTCAATCCGGGCAACTCGGTGAAGGATCGCATGGCGCTCAAAATGGTGGAAGTGGCAGAAAAGGAGGGCAAACTCAAGCCGGGAGGCACTATTATAGAGGGAACGAGTGGCAATACCGGTATGGGACTGGCTTTGGCAGCTGTGGTAAAGGGTTACAAATGCGTGTTTGTAACGACCGATAAGCAAAGTAAAGAGAAGGCAGATATTTTGCGGGCCGTAGGTGGAGAGGTGATTGTGTGCCCTACGAATGTATTGCCTGAAGACCCGCGTAGTTACTACTCAGTGGCTGCGCGCTTGGCGAAAGAGATTCCAAATAGTTTTCATTGCAATCAATACGACAACCTGGCGAATCGTCAGGCGCATTATGAGAGCACCGGACCTGAAATTTGGAAGCAAACTAAGGGGAAAATCACGCATTTTGTGTGCACTGCAGGCACTGGAGGCACTGTGACTGGTACGGCTAAGTATCTCAAGGAGAAGAATCCGGATATACAGATATGGGCGATTGATGTGTATGGTAGCTTGCTGACGAAGTATTTCCGCACGGGAGAGATTGATATGAATGAGGTGCATCCGTACTTTAGTGAGGGTTTTGGGGAGGATTTTGTGCCCAAGAACTTCGATATGAGTGTGATAGACCATTTTGAGCAAGTAACAGACAAGGATGGTGCGGTGATGGCGCGCCGAATAGCCAAGGAAGAAGGCATTTTTTGTGGTTATAGCGCTGGCAGTTGTCTGCAGGGCTTGCACCAGCTGAAGAGCCGCCTCAAGCCAACTGATGTGGTGGTGTGCTTGTTTCACGATCATGGGAGTCGCTACATCGCTAAGCTGTACAACAACGAGTGGATGCGCGAACGCGGATTTTTGGAGACCGAATTGAGCATTGGGGATCTTATTTCTAAGAAAAAAGATAAAAGTTTTATTTCTTTGAATGTTGATAATACCGTGAGGGAAGCTTTTAATATGATGAAAGATAAAGATATCAGCCAATTGCCTGTGATGGATGGGAATAAAATTGTGGGCTCTATCACGGAAACCAATGTTTTGCATTTTTTGCTCGAAAATCCTTTGAAAAATAGTGAAACTGCTTTGAAAAATATTATGGATAAGCCATTTCCGGAGGTAGATCCAAGCGAGCCTGTGAGCAAACTAAGCAAATACATTAGTAAAGATATCCCGGCGGTGATTGTTACAGACATCAGTGGTTGCGTACATGTCATTACCAATTATGACCTGATACAGGCAATGTAGATTCTTAATTTTCGTTAATTCGTGGTTAAAGTTAAGTTATCGAGTGAATGCAGAATATGTTGTAAGTAGCTCATTATCAATTGTTTGTGTAACTTGCGTGCGTATTTGCTTTTTTTTTCGGTAAAACAAAGTTTTAAAAACAGCGTCATAAATACGTAGTTTGGCAGAAAGCTATAACTTTGCCGGCGAAAAGCAGCGGTTGAATGCAACCTTTTTCTATTTCTTGATATCATAGAGGGGCGATTGCTTGCAACCATTTTCTAAATCTTAATATTAAATTGACATGATGAACCGTATTTTTTCAATCCTAATTTTCTCTGTGCTGATGACAACTGCATCGGTAGCACAACGCATTGCCTTTGTAGATGTAACGGCAATATTGGAAAGCATCCCTACGTATGCCACTGCCCAAGAGCAATTGGATAAGATGGCCACAGCTTGGCGCCAAGAAATTTCGCAAGAGCAGGACAAAATAAAGGGAATGTATAGCAAATATCAAGCAGAACAAGTACTTTTGAGCGACGAATTGAAAAAGACTCGCGAAGAAGAAATCATGAACAAAGAAAAGGAGGTACGCGAGATGCAACGCCGTCGTTTTGGTCCTGAGGGCGATTTGTTCAAGAAGAGAGAAGAATTTGTGAAGCCTATTCAAGATAAAGTGTATGCCGCTATCGAGCAATATGCTACGAGCAAGGGTTTCGACTTTATTTTTGAGAAGGGTAGTGCTTCCGGTATGCTTTTCGCTGATTCTCGCTTCGATAAAACCGAAGATATCAAAACTATGGTGAAGTAATAAGCGCACTGCGCAATCGGCAATTCCTTGTATAATCTTGATACTTGGGATTGCCGCTTGATTTTTTTATTAATTATAAACAAACGAACTACAATTAGGAAATGAAGAAAATTATTTTGCTCTCCGGGCTGATGTTTTTTGGTGCTTTAGCAAGCATGCAAGCACAAAAATTGGGCTATTTTAACTCTAATGCGCTCTTAGCACAAGTGCCTGAGGTGCAACAAGCCGAAAGTGATTTGAAAGCCTTTCAGGCACAGCTGCAGAAAAAGGGACAGACTATGCTTCAGGAGGCACAAACCACCTATACCGAATTGACACAGAAAAAGGAGCAAGGACTCATTGCACCTAAGGCGTATGAAGATGGTATGGTTGCCCTCGAAGCAGAACAAGTGAAAATACAAAACTTTGAGCGCGAAATGTACCAGCAAGTATCTGCGAAGAGAGAGCAGTTGCTCAAGCCGGTTTTAGATAAATTGAATGCGGACATTGAGGCCGTCGCAAAAGCCAATGGTTACCAATACATTTTTGATAGCAGCAAGGATTTATTGCTTTACATGGATGAGTCACTCGATATTACAGCTTTGCTTAAGGCTAAGATAGGTATCAAATAATGCCTGCATTGTTATCAAAACATCAGCCTATAGGTATTTTTGATTCTGGCATTGGCGGTCTCACGGTCGCCAATGCCATTATCAAACGTTTGCCCAATGAGGAAATCATTTATTTCGGTGATACTGCGCACATGCCCTACGGCGATAAAAGCCCCGACAGCATACGGTATTATTGCATCCGTATCGCTAGGTTTTTGAAGGAAAAAAACTGTAAGATGATCGTGATTGCCTGCAATACGGCATCTTCTGTAGCCTATCGTGTGCTGCTTGATTTCTTCAAGGACGAAGCCCTTTTTGTGAATGTTGTAGATCCATTGGTCGATGAAACCACCAGAAAAGGTTATCATAAAGTGGGCGTTATAGCCACTAAAGCCACCATACAATCGCGTGTGTATGAGCTCAAGCTCACTGAGAAGAATCCTGACCTAATTGTGGCTAGCTTGGCTACGCCCCTGTTGGCGCCTATGATAGAATCAGGCTACTATTCTGATAAAATAAGCAAAGCAATAATTACTAATTATTTGGAGCATGAGATGTTTCACGATATCGATGCTTTATTGTTGGCATGCACCCATTATCCGCTTATCAAGAAGGATATTTCTAAGTTTTTTAAGAACAAGGTGGACATTCTCGATAGTACCGACGTAGTCACCGATGCGGTGTTTAAAAAACTGAAAGATAAAGATTTGCTGAACGATGCGCGCTCGCAGCCACATCATTTCTATGTGTCGGAACTTACCCAATCGTTTGAAGATACGACCAAGATTTTTTATACCGACGATATCACGTTGGAGCATGTGCCCATCTGGTAGCAGTGAATTGCCACTACTTAATCCAATAACCTACCATGAGCGAGAATCCAAATTCTGTTCTAGTTTTTATGCCTGGCGATAGCATAATACCTGAGGCATCCTCTGAATCTATAATTTCAACATCATCAAAGGTGTTCAAACGAACATTGTCATGGCTTATGCCTAGGTAGATGGAATAATCTAAGTATATTCTTTCACTTTTCCCTATTGGTCGCAATTTCCCCCACCTGAGTCCGTAGCCAATACGCTCAACTTTTCTGTTAACCCACAGGATTTCTTGGTATTGACTGCCTTGTCGCAAAACGCTTATTTTTCGTTTGTTTGATATGTTTTGGTACCTACCTTCAAGTCCGATGTACCAAATAGAAGATCTTGCAGTTCTTGTATAGTCAAGATACTTAGCTGCCACTCTGATAATTGGACCTCTATAGGTCTCTCCCTTACCTCTCGCAAACATTGCGGAACTAAAATAGCTTCCTGCACCAGCTTCCAAAGCCCAGTTTTGTTTGAATTTCCACTCACCACACACATATACGTATGATTTGAATGGCAATAAAACCGAGCTTATATTTGTTTTGATACCCCAAGTAGAGGATTCTAAATTGCGTTGATTGGGCAATTTGGATTCCGCAGCGCTATCGCTTGTGTTATCATTTACAATTATCTCCTGCGCGTAGGAAGGCGCGCTAGCGCAAAAGAGCAGTGTAAATAAGCAGCAACTATTTAATAACAGTGCCCAATTTCTTGATGTTCGAAATATCAGTGATATCATAAAAGTTGAAGCTAGTTTTAGTGGAGACAATCATTTTGTTGCCATTTACAATTAAATCTACAGGGTCGTTGATATTTACAAAATAATCGGGTAGTTCGACCAGCGATAATGGATTTGAGATATCAAATACCGCCAATTTATCGAGACCTTCATCACAAATGAATAGAAAATTGCCTGATATTCCTAGTCCATTTGGTTGATTTAGCCCATATTGTCCTACCTGAATTGGGTTTGACTTGTTACTTACATCAAATACTAAAAGGGTGCTGCTCGACGACACATTTCCGCACACATTTGCAATGGTTTTAATGGTTGAATAAGCATAATTACCTTTAACAACCACCGGATCGCAACCACCACCAATCGTAATACCGCCGGCAGTTTTGGAAAGTAACTTAGGTTGAGCTGCAACCGTAATATCGAGAATATAAAGGAAATTGCGCGAGCCTACGTACACATAGCCATCATAAATGGTTATGGTTTCCAAGCCATACTCCGTCTCCAACGTATGTGTAAGTACAGGATGCTCCGGGTCATGTACATCATAAGTGAGCACCCCATTGGGGTTGAGTGCATATAAGTAGTCACCCAATACCTTGAAGCGCGTGATCGAACCTGATAGTCCATTTTCACCCGGTGTAGGATTAAAAACGGATTCGGAGGAATCTTTGTCACATTGCATTTGCATGAATGCAAATCCTATCAATAAAAGCAATAAGGCGTGAACAGAATTTTTCATAAAAAAATATTTTAATTTGTGGTTTGGCAGTAATAAACATCTTGTATAACATCTTCCCAGCCTATTATCGCCCCTTTATTGGGGTCGTAGCACTCAAACGGACCATTATAGAGCGGAGGAAATAGGAGAGGGTCAAAAGCATTGGGTGTCCTACTCACCAAAGTTGCGTGTTGAATATCATGTATATCAATAATCAGCAAATCTTTCCAGCCATCGGCATACATGTACCCACCAGAAATCGTAAAGTCAGTGATAGCAGGAATCTGTATAAAAGTCAGGGCTTCGGTATTATTTGAATCAATTGCATTATACACATGAACACCTTTTTTGTGTTCTAGCACAAAAAACAGCGAATCCGACCAAAATATAGTACCAGCCAATGCGATAGGTTGCGGAGGCAGATTAGTCACATGATCAAGTGAATCGGCAGATATATAAATGGGACGTTTCCCATAGCCGCCGCCAAAATCTTCAACGGTGTATACACAACTGACCAAAAAAAGCCCGAAAAATAGCGAAAATAGGATACGGCGCATGAAATATAGAATTAGAGTTAATCATTTACTTAATAGACGTGCAAAACCGCGAAAAAGTTGGGTAACCGCGAAAAAAAATCTAAACGATTGCTAGGATCGAGTTTCAGAACCAGTACAAATAACGGAGCATAGATTTTTTTTGAAAAAAAACACACGTGCTTAGCACTCAGTCCGCTGCCTGCACCTTCCGCATCCCATTTTCATTCAATGCTTTACAAAAAGCTAGCATTTTCTTTTTTAGCTCATTATCTAAGGCTTTTTGCCTATCGCCATACTTCGCTGAAAGGTTTTGCTTGAAAAGAGGGTCTGTCTTCCACGCAAATAATCCCAAATCCTTCTCCAAGTCAGACATGTATGTGAAAGCAGTATCAGAAATAGTATAAACTCCGGCATTGTATTGATAGGTGAAATGTTCCTTGAAACCACATTTGCTCGTATCCAGTAAGTTGTTTCCGAGCGAGAAAAACGGCTTGGGGTAGTGCAAAAGTTGCATGGTGGTAGGAAGAATGTCTATTTGGTTGGCAATTTCAAAGCGCTCGCCATGTACACTGCCACGCGGGTCGAAAATAGCTATTGGTATGCGATATTGCTTATGGAAGTTGCCACCATTGGTGAGCGCAGGTCCCGTATGGTCAGCTGTAAGCACAAAAAGTGTATTTTCATACCATTTTTCCTTAGCAATTGTCTCAAAAAAGCGCCTCAATGCGTAATCGGCGTATTGTACCGATTGCAAAATTGGATGCCCTTGCAAATGCTCAAAACGGTTCTGGTGAGCTTCCGGCAGCAAAAAAGGGTGATGGGTGTTTAGGGTAAACACAGTAGCACAAAAAGGGGAAGGGGTTTCATTCAGCTGTCTGGCCATATATTGCAGGAAGGGCTCATCCCAGATGCCCCAATGACCATCATAATCTTTTTCGTTGTTATAGTCCTCTCGTCCGTAGTAATGCGCTATACCTGCCAATTGGCAGTAAGCATCAAAACCCATAGTGCCGGTGGCTCCGCCGTGATAAAAAGAGGTATGATAGCCGTATGGTCTTAGCAAATTGGCGAAACTGGTAATTTCATTGGAGGAATACGTTGAAAAAATGAAAGCATCATCTTGCCAGGAGGGTATAGACGAATAAATGGCTGGTATGCCTTGTATAGATTCCTTTGCATTGGCATAAGCATTTCGAAAGACTAAGCTTTTTTGGAGCAAACTATCCAAAAATGGTGTTTTTGAGGCACCGCCAAAGCTGCTGATATATTCTTCAGAAAGGCTTTCTACGATTATAATGACAATGTTTCGTTGGTCAAAGGGCTTAGTATGATCGGGTAAATGCACATTGTAGTTACAGGTGTCGTGCGTAGATAATGCTGCACTGTCTTCGTGGCAGACAACGCCGGTCTTGTCGCTGGATTTGTAAATAGAAAAAGGACTATTGATGATGAGGGGAATAGACTTAGGTCCAGCTACCTCTGCCGCATTGATGATATCGATAGGTTTGAGCTGCATACCTCCGCGAAAAGCCAAGATGCTCAAGGCAGCCATGGACAAAATCAGCGCTAAGTTTTTTACATAATTGGAAGAAATTGGAGCTTCTTGTAGATGTTTAGCTGTACTGTATCTAAATAGCCTGTTCAATAGCCAAAGCAGCACAAAAAAGAGCACCCACAGATACCAAAAATCTCCGACAAATCTAGGTAAAAGCCCTAATGCCTCATTGCCTTTTCTGCCGCTTGCATACTGAAATACATCAAATTGCATGCGTCGTTGAAGAAAAGGGTAGTAGGCTACATCTATCAGGTTGGTCATGAGAAATAGTCCATTGGTTGCAATAAACCAGATTTTCCAGCAGCGTGCAGCAGCTTTTGATGCCAGAAATGAAAGTGGTAAGCTCCAAAGTAGAAACAGCAATACATTGGCGACAGCGATGGCTGAAAGATCGTATCGTATGCCGTATAGTAAAATCTTTAGCCCTCCGGTGAATCCGTCTAGCTCGAAACTAGCGCTATTGACCCCCAAAAAAGCTAGGCGTGTGAGGGCATATATAGCTAGAAGACCCACAATCATAGCAACATATGATTGGAGCATGGAAAATGCTGTAATGACCGTTTTTTTTTGCGACGAAGTACTTGTCACCATCCTTGAACAACCTTATGTTTACGCTATTTTCAGCGCAGGCTGCCCAATAATACGCAAATAATTAAAATGTGCCGCCAATGCTTGGGTAAATGATGGATATTCCATGTACTGAATACCAAACTCTGCTGCGGTTTTGCGCACTATGGGCGAAAGCTGACTATAATGCACATGCGATATTTGTGGGAAAAGGTGGTGCTCGATCTGATGGTTAAGCCCGCCTACAAACCAGCGCATAAAACCGTTGGTTTTGAAATTGGCGGTGGTGCGCAGCTGATGAATTGCCCAATTGTTCTCCAAATTACCTGTTTCGTCGGGTTGGTAGTGGTGCACGTCTCCTACAGCATGTGCTGTCAGAAATACCAAAGTCATGATAATGCCGCTTACAAATTGCACAATTAAAAAGCCAATAATTGACCAATACCAAGCGTAAGGCAGCAATAACATAGGCAAGCCGACTACCGCAAAGAAATATACCGACTTCGCCAACACCAAACGAAAGAATGCTGGCCAAGCATTTACGCCTACTTGTTTCAGTACATCGGTCTTCCAGTACCTTACATATTGCACAAAATCTTTTTTTATCAGCCAAGATGCGTTCGAAAGCCCATAGAGTAGGGGTGCGTATAAATGCTGATAGCGATGATACCATTTGAGCACGCCATCAGGCGACATACGTAGGAACGGCTTGTCATCAATATCTTCGTCCATGCCATATACATTGGTGTAAGTGTGGTGCATCATATTGTGTTGCACTTTCCACGTGACTGACGAGCCGCCAAGCATTTCCATGGTATATCCAGCTATTTTATTCCAAGTTTTGGAGGAGCTGTAGGAGTTGTGCAGCGCATCATGCATGGTATTGAGTCCGAGTCCACAGGCTCCCAAACCCATAGGTATGCACAATAGCAATAAAACCCAACCCGGCCATCCGCTGAAAAGTATGAGCCCAAATGACGCCAAGTAGATGAAATATAACACTATTGTCTTTGAATATAGTGAAATATTGCCTTTTTTCGAAATGTTGTTGTTGTCGAAATAGGCCTGCACTCTTTGCCGTAATACGGTGTAGAATTCGGCAGCAGGCTCCACAGAAAAGCGAATATTATTGGCTGTATTCTTCATGAAATAATTTAAAAAGTTCAGAAAAACGGTGCAAAAGTAGTTTGGAGCACTATTTTGTACATGCAAGGTATAGGTTTTTGCGAAATATGCAAAGAAAGCGGCGATTTTTTTGAATTTTTGAAGTGAATTAGAAATTTTGAGCATTGTGAAATGCTTGTTGGTTTAAAAATCACTTATGGTTCACTGTCCATCGTTTATTTTTCAAACTATGGCATGCCCCTCAACAAACTGCCCTTAGGCACCGTGCTAAGCTTGGAGTTTCGGGAGGGCAGTTTGTCGAGGGTCGGGCTATCCGTTGCAATAGCCTTTTTGTGCTTTTTTGTGCTTCGGCTTGGGGTTTAGAAACCGCTACAGCGCAATGCCTCTACAAGGTTTTTTAGGTAATTTTTACAACAAAAGCACAAAAAGGCTATTTCCACTTCTATCCCTCATGCGCGTAATCTTGTAACTCAAGAACCATTAACTCGCCAATATCCTTTGTACAGTTTCAATATCTATTGACAGTATCTTTGCTATTTCCTCACTTGATATGCCTGACTGCTTCATTGCCTTTATAGAAACATGAAGGATGTGCTCCTTTTGTCTGCGCTCTTCTTCCTTTTGTCTGCGTTCTTCCTCAGCTCCTGCTCTGGCTTCTTCCTCTCTTGCCTTGGCTTCTTCCTCTCTTGCTCTGGCTTCTTCCTCTCTTGCCTTGGCTTCTTCCTCTCTTGCCTTGGCTTCTTCCTCTCTTGCCTTGGCTTCTTCCTCTCTTGCCTTGGCTTCCTCCTTTTGCTGCTTTAAAATAGCGATATCACTTTCATGCAAGGCAAAAATATCTTCCACCTCTTGTTCTACTATCAGCTTTTCCATAGTTTCATTATCTAATAGCGAGTTTTGTAGGAAATCTACCACATCTTCAAAGCCTTCCGGTATTTCTTGCATATCTAAGATGAATTTTTTGTCCGGTGATTCTACCCAGGCTTGATTGAAAATGGTCATGAACTTCTCTATTGCTGACTGCCGTTTTGGTGGTAGACGCCGTGCTTGTAGTACGTAACAAGTGTGTGTGAGCAATTCTATAAAATCACTCTGAATATGAAGTTCTTGTTTGGTAGAGGCATCAATTATTTTTCGGTCTATTTTAGCGGCTAGTACGGGTATGTCTTCTACTTTATATCCTAAAATGTATATGCTTATGATGGGATAGGCTTTCGTTTCTTCTTTACCTGTGTCAGCATTTAAGGGATTGGCTATTTTTACCATCGCATCGTTGTATTTTGTGGCAAATATACGATTTTTTTGTTAATTTCGGCTATTTTTGTTTGCTTGTGCCTCGTGCGTGAGCGATAGTAGCGGAAACCGATAAAAAATCGCCTAACTACCCACACCAAGCTACTCCAATACACCAAGAGGCGATTTTTTATTGGTTGCAGCGGATAGCGCGACCCAAAACAGCCCTTTCCCGATGACTAAGCTGTCCGATATGCTCTTGGGGCTGTTTTGGGGCACGCCATGAAGTTTTTTAAAAGCCCAAGCACTACGCTTGGGCTTCCAAGTTTCATTATATCTAGATTGAAGCGAATAGCCCGACCTTATAACGGGCTGTGTATCTTGGTGTGGTTCACCTACAAAGTGCCGCGACGTTCTTGCTCGGCTTCTATGCTCTCAAAAAGGGCTTTGAAGTTGCCTTTTCCGAAAGATTTGGCGCCGCGACGTTGTATGATTTCGAAAAATAAGGTCGGACGATCTTCTACCGGCTTGGTGAATATTTGGAGCAAGTAGCCTTCTTCGTCTCTATCAACCATGATGCCGAGCTTTTTGAGCTTTTTCATGTCTTCTTGGATGATGCCTACGCGCTCTCCGATGGTGTCGTAGTAGGTGCCGGGTATGTGCAGAAATTCGATGCCGCGTTTGCGCATTTGCCCAACGGTGTGTATGATATCGTCGGTGGCTACGGCGATGTGTTGGCAGCCCGGGCCTCCGTAAAAGTCAAGATATTCTTCTATTTGCGATTTTTTGAGCCCGGCAGCTGGTTCGTTGAGCGGAAACTTGATGCGACCATTGCCGTTGGACATCACTTTGCTCATGAGGGCGGTATATTGCGTGGAGATATCTTTGTCGTCGAAGGTGATGAGGTTGGCAAAACCCATAACTTGCCCGTAAAAATTAGCCCATTTGTTCATGGCGCCAAGTTCTACGTTGCCTACCATGTGGTCAATGTATTTGAGTCCGGTGGGCTTGGGCTCGTAGTCGGATTTCCAAGCTGTGAATCCCGGAAGAAACGTGCCTTTATAGTTTTTGCGCTCTACGAAGGTGTGCACAGTATCGCCATAGGTTTTGATGGTTGCTTTGACAACTTCGCCATCGGCATCGGAGAAAACAGTCGGCTCCATGACAGATTCGGCGCCACGGCTGGTGGTTTCGTGGTAGGCCTTGCGGGCATCGTCCACCCAAAGTGCTATGACTTTTACGCCATCGCCATGGCGACGGATGTGATCGGAAATTTCGCTATCCGGATTGAACGGAGTGGTAAGCACCAGGCGGATTTTATCTTGCACCACCACGTAGGAACAACTTTCGCGGTTGCCGGTTTCGAGTCCGTTATAGGCTAAAGATTGAAAACCAAAGGCGGTTTTGTAGTAATGTGCGGCTTGTTTGGCGTTTCCTACGTACAATTCTACGTAGTCGGTGCCGTTGATGGGCAAGAAGTCTTGTGCCTGATCAAATATTTTGGCGATGCCATAGTCGAAGTTGGCAACATGGGTAAGATCTGTAGTGGACATCATTTTGAACTATTTTGTGTGTTAGAATGTGAAATATAGAACGCATACTTGTGGATAGAAGTTTGTTTGGGACAACAAATGTACTGCTAAAAGTTGAGTTCTATGCTATTACGGCACAGACAAATCTTGCAACCAGGATTTGTAATATCCTTCAACTTCAATTTTGAGCGCTTCTTCAGTGATCATTACGGGCGCAAATGGGTCGATCATAACGGCGAGTTCGTTGGTTTCTTTCTTTCCAATGCTGCGCTCTATGGCTCCCGGGTGTGGTCCGTGCGGAATTCCGCCGGGATGTAAGGTTATTTGTCCTTTTTGAATATTGTTGCGCGACATAAAATCGCCATCTACGTAATAAAGCAACTCGTCGCTATCGATATTGCTGTGGTGATAAGGGGCAGGTATAGCTTGCGGATGATAGTCGTAAAGCCTTGGTACGAAGGAGCAAATAACGAAATGGTTGCTTTCGAAGGTCTGGTGTATAGGTGGTGGCATGTGTATGCGACCCGTTAGTGGCTCAAAATTGAAAATAGAGAACGTATAAGGATAGAAATGCCCATCCCAGCCCACTACATCGAAAGGGTGATTGGCGTATACATAAGGGTACATGATGCCTTTTTTCTTGATGTATATTTCAAATTCGCCTTGGAGATCGAAGGTTTGTAGGTTTTTGGGTCGTATAATATCTCGCTCGCAGAATGGTGAATGTTCTAGGAACTGACCAAACTCATTGCGGTAGCGCTTAGGCGTTAAGATAGGATCGAAGGACTCAACATAGAGTAATCGGTTTTTCTTGGTGTCGAAATATATTTGATAGACGGTACCTCGTGGAATGATGATGTAATCACCGTATTGAAAACTCAATTCTCCAAACATGGTGGTCAACTTACCTGAGCCTTCGTGCACGAATAGCATTTCATCAGCATCGGCATTTTTGAAGAAGTACTCGGTAGAGTGCGTAGGTGCCGCTAGTCCAATGTGCATATTAGCGTTTACAAACAGTGTTTTTCGGCTTTTGAGGTAGTCTTTTTCAGGCTTGACATCGAAACCTTTGAAGCTCATGGCGTCGAGGCTGTTTTCTTTCACCACTTTGGGCATTACACTATATGCTTTGTCTTTTTGTTTTACGCGGGTAGGCGGGTATAGGTGGTACACGAGTGATGACATGCCTGAGAAACCTTGTGTGCCAACTAGCTCTTCTTGAAGGAGAGAACCATTGGGCTGACGAGTAACTACATGTCTTTTGTCAGGAACAAATCCGAGTTGATGAAATATAGGCATACCATTTCTTTTTTTTGTAATGAAGCAGCAGGAAAATAGACCATTTTCGTGGCTGTGCGTTGTGTGTGCAAAGGTATCATGCGAAAAACAACTAAAATGTGATGTGTGTCACACTGTGTTTTTTTGTGGAAGAGATTTGGAATGCGGCTTATGGGCGTGTGAAAGCCTTCCAATTGAGTATTTTGATATATTTCCCGTGCAGTTCGATGGTTTTGTTTTCTTGGAGCTCATAGAGCAATCGCGTGGCTGTTTCACGCGTGGTGCCGGCGAGGTTGGCGAGTTCTTCTCGTTTGATGGCTATATTGATGGTGCTCTTGTCTTCTTGGCAGCCATATTTATCATTGAGTGCCATCAAAGCCTTCATAATGCGGTCTTTCACGGGTTGCTGCGCCATTTGAGTGATTTTCTCCTCGGCTTCTTTGAGTTCGTCGGCGAGAAGTCGTGCCACACGCAACAGTATTTTGGGGTAAGTTTCCATGAGGCGGAGGAGCTCGGCTTTAGGGATAAAACAAATACCGGCATCTTCCATCGCGATAGCCGAGCAAGAATAGGCATCTTCTCCAAAAATAGCCCTATGCCCCATGGTATTGCCGGCATTTACGAGGTGTACAATTTGTTCTTTGCCGTCAGCGCCAAGTTGAAAAACTTTTATTTTGCCATAATTTACACAATATAATCCTTTTGGATAGGTTCCTTCCCTGAAAACGACATCCCCCTTTTTAAAAAGAATTTGTTTTTTCAACTGCGATAATTTCTCTTTTTCCTGCAAGTTCAGCTGGCAGAAGATAGATTGCTCACAGGCATGGCAATCTTCGCAGTTCATTTTTTTTTCGTTAAGCATTTTGCAAAGGTAATCAGTATTATACTATTTACGGTTCAAAAATACAGAAATTTCCAATATTGACAGAAGTCACTTTGAGGCTTGACCAATATCATAGTTCGTTGTTTCTGCGATATTTAATTTTGTGGCATGAAACAGCCATAGTTGAAAAGATATGGTCATTCATTTTTCTAACAATTAGTAAAATTATTCTACAATGAAAAAGATTCTTGTTCCTACAGATTTCTCCGAAAACTCTGAAAAAGCGCTAAAATTTGCAGCAGAAGTTGCATTAAAATCTCAAGGTCGCATTGAATTGATAAACGTAAACTCGGAGGTGATGTACACCCCAACTATACCCGAATACTCGGTTACGCAAAGCGACGATGTGGACAAATACGCCGAAGTAGCCGATGCTAGGCTGTTTGACATGAAAAATAAATTCAATTTGGATATCAAATATGCCAATATTGATATGGAAGCTTACGTAGAGGAAGGCTTTTTGCACAATACACTCAAGCGTATTGCTCAAGAAGATGGTTGCGATCTCGTGGTGATGGGTACACAGGGCGCCACCGGTGCATCTGAGTTTTTTGTAGGCTCCAACACCGAAAAAGTAATCAGAACTGCTATAACGCCTGTTTTGGTGGTGCCTTCTGCTGCCGTAAACACCGATTTTAAAACCGTTGTCTTGACCACCACACTCAAGTCAGACCAATTAAAAGTGTTCCAAACCACCGCTCAATGGCAACGTTTATTTGGTTTCGATGTGAAAATATTGTATATCAACAATCCTGCAGGTTTCGATAGCAACGAAGAGATAGGCGAAGGTTCCGGTAAATATTGCAAAGCGGTAGGGTTAGAAAAAACCACTATTTACTCTACTACTAATGTTTTCAATGAGGAAAAAGCTATACACCACTTTGCAGATGAATGGGGCGCAGACCTTATCATAATGGGTACACACCAAAGGCAAGGCGTATCGCACATGTTGTTTGGTAGCCTCACAGAAGATACCGCCAACCATTCTAAGATACCCGTTTTGTGCGTGCCTCTTGGCTAATATTTTGAGAGCATATAAACAATGCGTTTAGGAGGGTTGAAAAAATAAGTAATAACAGCATGTTATTTTTTCATCATTCCTAAACGCATTGTTTTTTTGTTTTGTGCAACCAAGCACATGCCTCAGTGCCTTATTTCGAAGCACACTTGCTCGTACACACCGGAAAATCGGTTGTTAAGCCCGCAGGGATATTGGGCAAGCAGTCGAGGTAAGTATTCGCAATATCCAAATTGACTAATCCTGCGGGCAAAAATGGTAAACAAGAAATTGGATTGTCATTACAATTTAACTCTACCAGTGATTCCGGAAATGAAATATTCAGACTTCTAATATTGTTTTTTCCAAATTTAATATTTTTCAGTCCCTGCGGCAGAGCGGGCAGACTTTCCAATAAATTATTCTGACACGACAGCTGTTTTAGCGATTTTGGTAAGGTAGGCAACTCCGTTATGCGGTTGAAATAGCACACCAAATCCTCGAGTCCCTCCGGCAGCGGCGGCAGAGAGGTCAGCGCATTATCATTACAGTAAAAACCAATTAAAGATGTAGGCAAATTGGTTATAGAACTCACCTGATTGTTGCCAAAACCTACCTCCTTGATATTCGGTGGCAGCAGCGGCAATTTGGTCAACAAATTATCATTGCACCACAGTTGCTCAAGATGTTGCGACAAAGTGGGCAGCGCTACAAGTTTATTGGCGCCACAGAAAAGCCGCTTGATGCGAGCCGGTAGCATAGGTATGCGCGTCAATTGGTTCCCTCCGCAATACAACTCTACCAAACCATCGGGCAATTCGGGCAATTCTGCAAGCATATTATCATTAAGTTGCAGCGAAGTCATCGTCACCGGCAACTTACCAATCTTCGTTATTTGGTTCGAGTGTGCCGAAAGTCGCTGCATGCCCGCCGGCAAACTTGGCAGAGCAGATATCTTGTTCGAATTGCAAGTGATACTCTCCAATCCAGCCGGCAATTCTGGCAGACTCGTAAAGCTATTATTGCTGCAATCAATCCACTTAAGCGCCGATGGTAGCGTCGGCAATTGTATAATTTTATTGTTATTACATTTCACGCCTGTTATTGCTGCCGGCAACTCCTGTATTGTAGTTATTTCATTGTCGTTGCAAAACAACAATTTCATGGATAGTGGTAGCCCGGTAATCTCCTTCAACTCGTTGCCATTGCAATACAAATGCGTAAGACTGATAAAAGCCCTCAACCCATTCAGGTTTTTGATGGATTTATTGGCAATTTCAAGCACTGTTACTTGAGCAGCCTCTTTAAATTGTATCTCGCCATCATTATTGGTATCGATTATTGGATGGTGACTCAATAGCGCAACCTTAAAAAAAGGATCATTGATTTGTACGTTCTGGGCAGAAATTACGAAAACTTGGAATAGCAAAAAACCAAAGACTTGGATTAATTTGTTCATTAAAACGGGCTTATTTATTCTGAAATTAATTGTTTGTTCGTGTGAAACCTCCAAAAATAAAGGGAAGCGCAAAGGTAAGCATCTTATCTGAAAATCTAATATGATTTTAAATTAAATATTTATTGAATTTCATATGGCGTGCCCCAAAAACAGCCCCAAGGTCAATCGGCGGGGTTTAGGGCTACGAGCAGGGCTGTTTTTGGGTCGCGCTTTCCGCTGCAACCAATAAAAAATCGCCTCTTGGTATTGTAGTTAAGCTTGGAGCGCTCAGCTAGGCGATTTTTTATTGGTTTTCGCTGCAATCGCTCACGCACGAGGCGTACCGTCACAATCAATAAATATTAATTCGCCTTGTTCTGCTGCATGCACAATCAAACAATTTTCGCAAAAAGTTGCCGGAACGAAAATGAATTTCGCTGAAAACGCCAACTAATTTATTCTTCATTTTTAAAAGAAAGAGATAATCCACAAAAAATAATAGTTCAGCGAAATAAGAAAAACAAAGTAAAGTAGTACATTTGTGACTACAAAGGTAGCTCGGTGCAAAGGCAGCAGCTTTCTTTTGGTTGGTAAGAAAGGCTTGGCTTTTGTGCTTCGCGTATGTCGGCACAGCCGACGCCATAGAGGTCCGAGGCTGTAAGCCACGAACCAGCGTTGTATGTGGCTGCGCCACGGGCTTGGGGACAGTCTAGGGCTAGCGGGTAGCCCCGAACCACGTTTTGCTGATGTAAAACTAAAAAAGTCATCTACTGATGACTTATATCTTGAATTTAAGAGTTTTGCGAATCCAAATCACCCTGAAGATGAAGAAATTCAAAGTGTTATGTGGACAAATCTGAAACAATTCATGAAATACATAAAAAGAGATGAAGTGAAAAAATGGGGAGAAAATGGTAACCTCTTATATATATTTGACAAAAAGCCTACACCCAATGTAAATACTATTAAAATTGACCTGCGAAGTCGCCTCTGCGCAAACTGCACAGGGACAAACCAAGGTACACCAACCTATACCCTCACCACCGCCGGACAAGCTGTCTTTGACGCTATTTGGAGCAATGTGGCGTTGAGGGGGAATTTGTTTCCAATAAATAATACTGAAGCTCTTAAAGGATTGGCAGAAGCCGACTTTATTAGTATGATTTCTCAAACAAACAGCAATTTTTATAACTTCATTCAAGTGAAATAGATTATGTATAATTTACTAGAAAAGATTCAGGATATATCAAATTTTGCTGCAGTGCATAATCATTTATACATATTGAAAAAAAATGGTGATGTACTCTCCGCAAATTTAATAGCGAAGAACTGCTATGGAATCGAAAAAAATGGGAATTTTCTATTTTGTTATCAAAAAACAAATGGAATCACTACAATAATTGTTGAAAATGATGAAATTATTTTTGAAAATAATTTAGCGCTTGATTCAAATTCCTTCAATGGAATTGATTTAATATTACGAGATGGCAAGAATCATGGATTATACAATATATACAACAAGAAAATTACATGGTTTTCTAATATAAAGCCTTTCGGACAAAATATTCGAGTCAATCAAAATGTAATTTCGAAAACTTCTCATTCACATATTCAATCCCTCTCCCTCCCCACCGGCACCACGCTCTGGGAGACAGATTTGAGCGAAGCATGTAAGTACATAGATTGGGAAGGGCAGCCGCAAGCAGGAAAGATATATAAGATACTAGGCATACATGGCAACACATTATGGGTATTGTTGGAGCAGCGGCGTTTGGTGGGTATAGACATCACATCGGGTGGCATTATCCACAATTGGATACCCACTGAAAAAACAATTGAACCAAATAACGTCTTTGTAAGCATGGTATTTCCATATTACAAAGAAAAGGAGAATGCCCTCTACTTTTTCAACGGAAGCACCTTTGGCAAAGTCGATTTGACCACCCGCACCACCGAGCTAATATGGCACGACCCACGTTACAACATGAGCGTCTCCGACATACACGATGATTACATCTATTTCNGTTACAACATGAGCGTCTCCGACATACACGATGATTACATCTATTTCATAGGTGGCGAAGGGCAAGGACTCTTCAAAAACGGTATAGGCATATTTGACCGTCGTAAAAATGAAGTAGTTTGGACAGCCCTCATAAAACTCAAACAATACGAAGTACTCCAACAAATAGAAGCTGTCAACAACAAAATATACGTCAAATCCTCCGAAAATCTCTACATCTACGAGCGCGAAGATGCCGAAACAACCAACCCCGAAACGAACCTAAATATATGACAATGAACATTTTAAAAGCCATGATAGCGGTACAACCACCAAAATATCGGCAGCTGCCCGCGATAGGGATAGAAGCGGAAATAGCCATAAAAAATGCGCCTGAACGTACGGCAAAAATTTTGTAATCAGCCCGAGGGCGCATTTTTTATGGCTATTGCAGCGTATAGCCCGACCGCCAAGACCAACCGCCTGCGATAAGGCTTTAGCGTGGTAGGACTGCTGGCTACCCGCTTGGTAAGAGCGGTGTACGGGGGTAAAATGGGCGGTTGAGCTTGGGGGGAACGCCATAATTAATTGCCAAAAAAACACTAAAAAAAACGTTCTTTGACATAAAAAAACAAAGTAAAGTAGTTACATTTGTGACTACAAAGGTAGCTCGGCGCAAAGGCATCAGCTTTCTCTTGGTTGGTAGGAAAAGCTTGGGTTTTGTGCTTCGCGTATGTCGGCACAGCCGACGCAATAGTTGCACGAGGTGAAACCTCGCGCTAGCGTCTTGTTGTGGCTGCGCCACGGGCTTGGGGACAGTCTCGGGCTAGCGGGCTATGTTCACATATAGTTCGCACCGTATGAATATAGAAGCAGGCTATAAAATGACTTGGGCTTATACAAGAAGAGAAAATATGAAAGAAGGATATTACGAAGAAGACAGCGATTTTATGCCGTATTATTTGCTTCAGAAGGAGCTAAAGCAGAAGGTAATAAGCTATAACGATATCAAGGGTGAGGTGCGATATATTGCCGGAGCAGATGTGGCTTACAACGATGCCACTAAAAAAATGGTAGGCGCTTTGGTCGTTTTAGATGCTAATACGCTGCAAGTGGTTGAGCAACAGGTGCATGAAATGGAGGTAACTTTTCCTTATGTACCTGGCTTATTTTCTTTCCGAGAGGTACCGCCATTGGTAGAGGCTTTTAAGAAGCTGCAAACGAAACCAGACCTAATCATCTGTGATGCACATGGTATGGCACACCCAAATGGTATGGGTATGGCTACCCACTTGGGCTTAGAGTTGGATATTCCTACAATAGGTTGTGCCAAATCGTGGTTGGTGGGTATCTACGACAAATCGCTGCTAGGCTTGGAGCGAGGTGCCACTCAACCCATGATGTGGGATAGCAAAATCGTTGGCGTAGCACTCAGGACGCAAGATAATGTGAAGCCTTTGTTTGTGAGTGTTGGACATCGAGTTGATTTGCAAACTGCCATAGATTGGGTCCTGAAAATGAGCCCAAGCTATCGTCAGCCCGAAACTACTCGTCAAGCTGACCATTTGGTGAATAGTGTGATGAAGGAAAGGATGGAAATTGATTTTATGGGTGATGAAGCGGTGGAAGAGCCAATTTAGCACCACCCCGCAGCAGGGATAGAAGCGGAAATACCTATAAAAGTCGCCTAGCAGAACAGTAAAAGCTACGACGAACCGCCGAGAGGCGACTTTTATAGGTATTGGAGCGGATAGCCCGGCACCTTCAAAAACTGCCGATTCGACGCATTGGAGGATGATCGGTAACTTTATGGCAGTTTTTGAAGGTGGCTGCCCTTATGGTGCCATTTTTTGCCCAATGTTTGGGCGTTTCGGGTAGATACGTTGCACTGCAACGTTTTAAGTTTTGCAAGCAAATTTAGAAAAAGGCAAAAAAAGGGCTATTTCCGTTACTATCTCTGCTGCTTTTCGGCGCATATCAACCCAACGGCATGCCACACGGTTATTCTACGAGTGTTACGTCGCCTTTTAGGAGTACTTGGGTGCCATCTTGGAGTACCACGCGCGCCCACCAAACAAATACTGCAGGGTTGAGCGCTTGCCCATCGGGAGTTTTACCGTTCCAGCCTAGGTTGGGTTGGTTCGCTTCAAAATCCGAGTTGGTAAATACATTGTAGCCCCATCGATCAAATATTTCTAACCGTTCTATGCGCTGAATGGTATTTTCGGCAGAAAAAATAGTGAAATACTTGTTGGGACCTGTGCCGTGGGTGCTGATAACATTGGGTGCCCAGATGCCGGGTATATCGACATATACGCGTATGAGTGCTTTGTCTTCGCAACCACTTTTACTTATTATTTTGACTTCATATTGTGTATTGGTGGTTGTGTTGGTGAGCGCCTTTAGCGGATTGGTTAAAGGGGTAAGTTGGGCAAGCGGGGACCAAATGACTGTGTCTATCTCACTTAACTGGAGATTGGTGACGGCAGTTAGGGTGTCCTGCTGACCGAAAGCAAGGTAAAGTGCCGGCGAAATTGTGAGTTGGGGCACCAAAATTGGCGGAAACACCAAAGTGTCGAACTCGTGCAAGCAGCCATTGGCGTCGGAGACAAGTATTTGATAGGTGCCGGCACCCAGGTTGTTGAAGTCTGCTGTGGGCACGAAATGAAGCCCGCCATCGATAGAGTAACTATAGGGTGGTGTGCCGCCTTGTGTGTTTTTGATGGTGATGAAGCCAGGTTCACCCGCACAATCAGGCGATTTTTGGAGAAGTGTAGCGGTAGGCACACTTGCCTGTATGGTTACTAGGGTTTCATCGGTTGCAGAGCAACCGTTTTGTAGATTGGTAACTATAAGCTGATAGGTGCCTGACCCTGCAATATCTATGGAGAATGCACTGGACGGGCTTATTATATTACCGCTTGTTGTGCTCCAACTATAACTGTAACCGGTACCTGTAGAGGAGCCTAGTGCCGAGAGCTGTCCTTCGGTGTCACCACAAACGAGTGAAAGGTTGGCACCAGCTTCCGCAGAAGGCTCTGTTAAGTCTTCATTTACAGTGACGGATGTGCTTTTGGAGCAGCCATTGTCAGTATTGGTGATGGTTAAGATGTAGGTGCCGGGTTGGCTGACTGTAGGATTTAGGGTACTGCCTCCGCTCGTAATGCTTGCTCCGGACCATATGGTAGTATAGCTGCTGCCTTGTGAACTTGCTGTTGCATCGAGGATTACGGTAGATTGTAAACAATTGATAGTCTGTGGGTTAGCAATAGTAGCTAGTGGTATTGCTGTGATAGAAGTTACCTCAACAGCATCGGTATCGGTGCAGCCATCATTGTTGTTGGTTACCAGTAGGGTATAGGTGCCTGTAGCGTTGATGAGTGGTGTAGGCGTGTTGGCACCTGATAAAATATTGCCCCCATTGCTGGTTGTCCATTGGTACGAGAGATTGGTACTGGTGTTGGAAGTAGCGCTTCCTTGCAAGATAATTTCGGAAACATCGCAAGTAAGGCTTGAGGCGGCTCCTGCTTCTGCTACTGGCTGTTCGGTGTTGGAGACTACCGAAACAGTTGCGATAGAGAAGCATCCATTGGTTGTATTGGTTACCAATAATTGATAAAGCCCTTCGGCATTGACGGTTGGGAAGAGCGTACTGGCACCACTTAGGATATTGCCATTTGTGGAGGTCCATTGGTAGCTGAAATTGGGACCAACACTTGTCCCAGTGCCGTTGAGTGTCACATCAAAGGTGATGCAACTCAAGGTAGTCGGGTTGGCTACTACGGCAGTTGGCGCATTATTGTCTTGTGTTACGAGCGCGCTCGCGGTTGAGGAGCAGCCATTGCTTGGGTCGGTCACTTGCAAGAGATAGGTTCCCGGAGCACCAACGGTTGGCGTAGCGGTATTGGCACCTGCGGTGATGAGTCCATTGGTGGTGGTCCAAGTGTAGGTGACGGATGCGCCTTGCCCGCTACCGCTGCCGGAAAGGTTGGTAGAGGTCATTCCGCAGAGCAACGTAGCGTCCGGACCAGCGTTGGCGGTTGGCAAAGCACTGTCTTCACTCACGGTTACGGTGCTGATGGTGCTACAACCATTGGCGGTATTGGTGACGAGGAGTTGATAGGTTCCTGCTTCGTCGATGGTAGGCGACAGCGTTCCTGCGCCTGCAGTGATATTGCCATCTGAGGTGGTCCAAGCGTAGGTGATGCCGCTTCCCGTGCTGCTTCCGCTGCCTGAAAGGTTGATTTGGCTGGTAGTACACGTCAATTGCGCAGGAGCTGAAGCGACAGCAGTCGGCGCATTATTGTCTTGTGTCACGAGCGCGCTCGCGGTTGAGGAGCAACCATTGCTTGGGTCGGTCACTTGCAAAAGATAAGTTCCCGGAGCACCAACGGTTGGCGTAGCGGTATTGGCACCTGCGGTGATGAGTCCATTGGTGGTGGTCCAAGTGTAGGTGACGGATGCGCCTTGCCCGCTACCGCTGCCGGAGAGGTTGGTAGTGGTCATTCCACAAATCAAAGTTGCGTCCGGACCAGCGTTGGCAGTAGGCAAAGCGCTGTCTTCACTCACGGTTACGGTGCTGATGGTGCTACAACCATTGGCGGTATTGGTGACGAGGAGTTGATAGGTTCCCGCTTCGTCAATGGTGGGCGACAGCGTTCCTGCCCCTGCGGTGATATTGCCATCTGAGGTGGTCCAAGCGTAGGAGATGCCGCTTCCCGTGCTGCTTCCGCTGCCTGAAAGGTTGATTTGGCTGGTAGTACACGTCAATTGCGCAGGAGCAGAAGCGACGGCAGTTGGCGCATTATTGTCTTGTGTTACGAGCGCGCTCGCGGTTGAGGAGCAGCCATTGCTTGGGTCGGTCACTTGCAAAAGATAGGTTCCCGGTGCACCAACTGTAGGCGTAGCGGTATTGGCTCCTGCGGTGATAAGTCCATTGGTGGTGGTCCAAATGTAGGTGACGGATGATCCTTGCCCGCTACCGCTGCCGGAAAGGTTGGTAGAGGTCATTCCGCAGAGCAACGTAGCGTCCGGACCAGCGTTGGCAGTTGGTAAAGCACTGTTTTCGCTTACGGTTACGGTGCTGATGGTGCTACAACCATTGGCGGTATTGGTGACGAGGAGTTGATAGGTTCCCGCTTCGTCGATGGTGGGCGACAGCGTTCCTGCCCCTGCGGTGATATTGCCATCTGAGGTGGTCCAAGCGTAGGAGATGCCGCTTCCCGTGCTGCTTCCGCTGCCTGAAAGGTTGATTTGGCTGGTAGTACACGTCAATTGCGCAGGAGCAGAAGCGACGGCAGTTGGCGCATTATTGTCTTGTGTTACGAGCGCGCTCGCGGTTGAGGAGCAGCCATTGCTTGGGTCGGTCACTTGCAAAAGATAGGTTCCCGGAGCACCAACTGTAGGCGTAGCGGTATTGGCACCTGCGGTGATAAGTCCATTGCTGGTGGTCCAAGTGTAGGTGACGGATGCGCCTTGCCCGCTACCGCTGCCGGAGAGGTTGGTAGTGGTCATTCCGCAGAGCAAAGTTGCGTCCGGACCAGCGTTGGCGGTTGGCAAAGCGCTGTCTTCGCTTACGGTTACGGTGCTGATGGTGCTACAACCATTGGCGGTATTGGTGACGAGGAGTTGGTAGGTTCCCGCTTCGTCGATGGTAGGCGACAGCGTTCCTGCGCCTGCGGTGATATTGCCATCTGAGGTGGTCCAAGCATAGGTGATGCCGCTTCCCGTGCTGCTTCCGCTGCCTGAAAGGTTGATTTGGCTGGTAGTACACGTCAATTGCGCAGGAGCAGAAGCGACGGCAGTTGGCGCATTATTGTCTTGTGTTACGAGCGCGCTCGCGGTTGAGGAGCAGCCATTGCTTGGGTCGGTCACTTGCAAAAGATAGGTTCCCGGTGCACCAACTGTAGGCGTAGCGGTATTGGCACCTGCGGTGATAAGTCCATTGCTGGTGGTCCAAGTGTAGGTGACGGATGCGCCTTGCCCGCTACCGCTGCCGGAGAGGTTGGTAGTGGTCATTCCGCAGAGCAAAGTTGCGTCCGGACCAGCGTTGGCGGTTGGCAAAGCGCTGTCTTCGCTTACGGTTACGGTGCTGATGGTGCTACAACCATTGGCGGTATTGGTGACGAGGAGTTGGTAGGTTCCCGCTTCGTCGATGGTAGGCGACAGCGTTCCTGCGCCTGCGGTGATATTGCCATCTGAGGTAGTCCAAGCATAGGTGATGCCGCTTCCCGTGCTGCTTCCGCTGCCAGAAAGGTTGATTTGGCTGGTAGTACACGTCAATTGCGCAGGAGCAGAAGCGACGGCAGTCGGCGCATTATTGTCTTGTGTCACGAGCGCGCTCGCGGTTGAGGAGCAGCCATTGCTTGGGTCGGTCACTTGCAAAAGATAGGTTCCCGGAGCACCAACGGTAGGCGTAGCGGTATTGGCACCTGCGGTGATAAGTCCATTGCTGGTGGTCCAAGTGTAGGTGACGGATGCGCCTTGCCCGCTACCGCTGCCGGAGAGGTTGGTAGTGGTCATTCCGCAGAGCAAAGTTGCGTCCGGACCAGCGTTGGCGGTTGGTAAAGTGCTTGTAGCACTTATTGTAACAGAGGTTGTTGCTGTACATAAATTGGCAGTATTGGTGACCAATAGCGTA